CACTGTGAACTTGCTTTTTTCTTCTCATCCTCTAAAAGTAGAGATTTTCCAACACAGGATAAAGTTATAAGTGAGCCTAGGGAGAGGCGTCAAATGTACCTCTTTCTGACAAGCCCTTCAGGTTCTCTGAGGACAATAGGAGACACCCTGGCCCGTGGCCCTCAGCTTCTCTTAGCAAGCCCTCAACTCTAGGCAAATCTGTCTACCCGCCAGCATACTTCCTGAAGTACCCAAGGCTCAACACTCACTGGCACCGATTCTGGCCTCTCCCAAGCTATCTGATCCAAGTTGCCCCACCCTTGACTCATAACTGAAGCCCTTTCTGGACGTTCATTCACTTACTCTTTGGGACTCCTACTGAGCCCACTGTCCGAGTTGCCCCTTAGTTTATCTTCACACCTGTCCTGATTATCCATCACTGTCCTTGGATGATGCCTGGGGGTCTGCCACACAGTTAGTGAAGCTGCCTCCCTGTCAGCTGGGGTGCCTCATCCCCTGGCTGTCTGGAAGGCAGAGGGTGACATCCCAGAATAAGCAGCTGTGCCGTTAGGTTCAGACTGGAGTGAAGAAAGGTCTGCAGTCTCCAATAGAGATATTGACATTACTGGAAACACAGGCCAGGACCTTGGGGAACTATGTATGGGACAGTCATTCTAGGTCCAATTGGGAAAGTGCCCAGTGTGACCCCAGGAGTTCCCATCCAAGGCCATGGAACATAAAAAAACAAACAAACAAACAAACAAAAACCCAAAACAAAACAAAACAGCAACAGAAAAAACAGCCAGAAGAGTCAGTACCAGCATGCACTCCCTCCTTGATGCCTCTTTTGTAACCCTGACTACTTACAGCCTCTTTCACAATTATGGGGTACAAACCTTGTGTCCTAGCAAAAGGGAAAGCTCCTTGAGAGAAAGGTCAGTATCTAAGCTCTTCTTTGTATCATCTTAGATGCTATGAGTTGGGGTCTCTCAGTTGCAAGACTACAAGAACCCTGGCATCTAACATCTGGTCAATACATGTTCACTAAATAGAAGCATGTATTTTATCAACTTCCTGGGCTCCATTCTGAGGATAGCATGGTATGAATCTCTATTTAAAAGAGCTCAGCCCAGTGTGTGTTTAGGGTTAACACATTATACAATAAACAAGTGCCAGAGAATGGGCAGACAGAATGCTCATGAAACCCTATATTCTGACACTCTCTGTAGTATCGTCCAGCTTACTTGATGAGAGGACTCGGGCCTATGGTGTCCCATGATAAAGCTGGGCTGTGCGAGACTGGGCTGACTGCAGCATACAACACACACAACAGAGGGAGAGAGAGAGAGAGAGGGGGGGCACAGCATAATTGAATACAGGTAGAGTATATGCAAGAGTTCAGTGCCCATCATACCACCCCAGATGCCAATTCTAACACCCCGACCAGCTGCTCATCCATGGAAACTGCCAAGCTGCCCACCGGTGCCTGTTACAGATCAGCATGCTATTTCTTCTCTCACAAATTAGCTCTGAACATATGGGTCTTCTGTTTTTAAAGTTATCCCAGATGGGTAGCAGGGTAACAACCTTCTAGTGAGACTTGTTTGATGGTTTGGAGCTGACCTCCAGCATCCAAGTTCCTGTGACCGCTGCGGCCCCTGGATCAGTTGGTGGCTCTTTTCACGTTTGTGCCATTAGCTCCTTGTTTTTGACCCTAGCCTCCTTTCTGGGCTGAGCCACATATCTCTCAGGGACAGAGACACACACCAAACCCAGGCTTCCCGCCATGTCACTTCCGCTCACCAAGTGTTACTCCGGGGCCTCAAGGAATACTCAGGAGAAGAAAGGGGCCCAGAGACAGAAGCAATGGAGCCAGGACTGGAGAACCACGGCTGAGCTGCACGTTAGGCATCTTTGAAGTTTGAGCTTCTGCCCTTATAGCCAACCAGGCTACTTCTGGGATGCTCTGGGAGGGCTTCTTGTCAAGCCCCTATCACAGGTAATGACTCACAAGTCAGCGGGAACCTCTGAGGTGGGCTTGTCACCAAGAGGCTTGTGGCAACTATTTGCTGTGTGTGTGTGTGTGTGTGTGTGTGTGTGTGTGTGTGTGTGTGTGTGTGTGTGTGAGAGAGAGAGGGGGGGCGGGAGGGCAGGTGCCAGCTTACATAAAAAGGTACGGCTACGTGGGAGGCCTGGCCAGCCACTGTCAGTCAGAAGCCCCCTCGCCCACCCTGGCTCAGCAGAAACATCTTGGCTGCCAGAGCAGGGCCCTGATACTGAGGCGCTCTAACAGGCCCGTTTTCTGGTTTAAATGCTGCCTCCACCAATGCTGTCTCCCTCCACAGAACATCACTTCGCTGTGTTTGCTTTGAGCAGGGGACATTATGGTCCTTTGCTGGCAGATGTAATTGGGAGATTGGTGGGGTCCTGGAGGAGTCAGAAATGCCACCCTCCCTTGGGGAAGGGCCTCTTTGAGAAGTCTTCCCTCTTGTGCTCTGAAGGGTACCATGCTTTTTCTCACTCCAGTGGGAAAAAACAACAACAACAACAACAACAAAATGACCCTTCACTCTGAAGATCCCAAAAGCCAAATATTTGCTGTTTCCATCTACCCCACCGGTTCCATCACAGGTAGAGAGAGGCGATGACTCTTTCTGACTGCTGGGTGAGAGGCTTGCTGGGAGTCAACCATTTTCTCTCCTGGCAGCTCTGGGTCCCTTGAGGCCCTGGGGTGTCACAGGAAATCACTGAAGGTTTCTAAAGAGCTACCCTGAAGCTTGTGGAGGAGAGGTATCCTGGAACTTGTGCACACACCAGAATTGGAGCAGGAGAGAGCAGGCAGGATTCACTGTCACCTCTCTTCCTTCCTGGGGACCTCCTAAGAAACATTCATTCACACTCGCTCTTGCGTCCCCAGCACAGGTTTTGGGCCCCATCCTTGCCTTTTTATATTTTGTCTGTGGGGGTTGGGGTGGGGGTGGGGTCAAAAGCACTCTGAGAATCTCAGCATCCTAGCACCATTGGCATGGTCCGAGGCCCTATAGACTATCGTGAGATGCTATCAGAAGTTTTAGAAAATGGCCTGCCCAGGACTACAGACAGGAGGAGAGAGCCCCAGGGATGCAACAGCTAGGAGCAGGGGTCACTCTCCAGGGCCAGTTATAACTGTGTGGCTCATCTAGGTCAGTCTAAGACCCCATGAGGCCATCAGAAAGCTTTGGCAGGAGGTGCCAGAGGCCCGAGGGAAGGAAGCAGAAAGGAACGGGCCTTTTCTGTGCTGGAGGTCAGAGTCGAGGGCTTGCCATCCTTCGGCTAGCAACGAGTTGTAGGCTGCTTTTTCCGTAGTACTAGCTATGAAATTCCTGGGGCTCAATGCAAAATGAGAGCGGGGGAGGGGAGAACCCCTGTTAAAAGCATTATGAGTTTCACGATACCACCAGTGGCCCTTTGAACAAAGTGTGGCCCCCCTGTGGGTGCTGGACATGTGTCACATTCAGAGTCAGCCCTGCTCCCTGGGCTTCCATTTCGCCCGCTCTACAACGGAGGACTTGAATTGAGTCAGAGAGCTGCCTGTGAGGCCCCTTCTTCACTTGAATGCCCAACCCTTGAATACCAAAGAGACAAACCACAGCTGCTGCAGTTCAGGCAGGCTTGACAGATGGGGCACCTTCCCAGCAACACCTGAGAGTGTGGTGTTGGAACCCTGGACACCGTCCCAGAGGTCCTCTTAGGAAGGGAAAAGCGGTGAAGTTCTCACTGTCGGAGCACAAGCATCCCCTGGGCTGCTGGGAGAAGGTACCAGAATGGGTACCTCAAACCTCATGACTCCTCCGAAGCCTGCATCTCCCCCTGCCAGGAAGGGAGCTCTCCAGGACCCAGGAGCAAGCAGCTTGGAGTCAAGAAGGGTTCCTTTTTCCATTTCAACTTTGTTTGGCCCTCAGAGTTTGTTCATGGATCCCAGGTCAGAGGTCAGGGAGGGTTAGACAGGTTTCAGATGTCAGGGAGGGCAGGACTCAGTTGGGACTCTGATTGGCATGATTGTCTTGAGGGGAAGGGGTCAAAGTTGGTGGAAGAGAGCGGGATAAGCCTGGGTGGGGCCTGCAGGAGTCCCTGGGATGGGACCTCGGCTGTGATCTACACCAAGCATCTTTCTGTGGTCCCTGGGAACCGGATCAGAATCATCTCTGGGTTTTAAATTTGCTTTGAGGGGTAAGCAATGGCGGTGAGGCCGGCACTGCAAGGACCATGTGTGATGATAGTTCATCCTCAGTCTCTTCCCTTTCCAGGACTTAGAACTCTTTCTGTCCCATCCCGTCCAGCTCTGTCCCCACCCCACCCCCACCCCCACCTCCCCGCCCCACTACCTACTCAGGGATACTAAAAAGAAAGTCACGGGGGGGGGCTGGAATACTTTTCCCAGCATTGGGGACTCTCAGCCCTCCTGCAGTCCAGGCTCCAGGGTGCCCCTGGCCAGTGTCTGGTGGGAAGGAACTGGTGATCTCTGTGCTCCCAGGGCCTCTGCTTACCTTTCATGGTCCCTTCTGCGCGGGCCTCTGCAGGGCCCGGTGGTGCTCGAGTAGAGTAGCCTTGGATGGAGTGGAAAGCCGGGGTCCTCCCCAGGCAACAACCGGCGCCCCTAGGCGCGGCCCGCGGAACTGGGGCTTGCGTGGGGATACATGCAGAGCTGTGTGGCTTCACAGGCGGCGTGGCCGGAGGAGGATCCCAGGGGTCGCAGGCCGGGGCTGCTGCTCTGCCCGCCGGAGCCGGGCGAGCTGTGCTGCCCCGCGCCCGCCGTCCTGGCCTCGCGCGCATCCCTCCCTCCTCCTCCCGCCCTCCCTCGTCGTCACCGCTTGGGCCCCAGCCCAGATCAACTTCCTTGATATTTTCAAAACTGCCGCGGCCGGGTCCCTTTGTGCCCCTGGTGCGCGGCGATGAATGCGAGGGAGGGTTCGCCACCCAGGGGCATAGCACGGTTACCATTGTGGTGGGCGTGGACCGTACCGGGACCCTGGATTTCAGACCTGCACAGTTCCCTGGCCCATCTTGGAGGAGCAAGAATTCTTGGGGACCAGCCCTCTGCCAACTGCTGATTTTACATGGGTCTGTGCTCTACACATCCACACCTCTTGCTCAGCAAGCCTCCACTTCCAGGTATCCCCCCCCCCCAGTCCTCGTCAACTGTAGTTGTTACCTCTTGATTGTCATGCCTCGCGGACACTGTCAAGCTCAGTAATGTTGAACTTCTGGTCTGCATGGGAGAACTGGGCCCTGAGCTTTCCCAAATCCTGTTACATGTGGCAGGGCCGCTGATGTAAAGGACTCTAGAGGGAAAGCTGTTTCAGACACCGAGTTGACTCTTGCCATAAAGCCCCTCGCTGTGTCATTTTGCGTTAAATGAACACATGTTAGCCACGCATTTACCAGTCACCTACCAACTTCCAGGTCCTGCCCTAAGGTCTGGGGGAAGGTGGGGAACACATCACCTGTCAGTAAGGAATGGAAGTCAGCAGTTAAGCAACAGCACAGAAATGTGGCAGGTATGAGAGCAAGGAGCAGGGACTCCAGAGTGAGGACAGCCTGGCCTGGCCTCTTGTTGTGGCTGAGGAACGGAGACTGGAGACTGGAGACGGCAACATTGAGATGAACATATAAAGAAATACCTGGAAGGAGGGACATCAGGACACCAAGTCTGCCACACAAGTCTGGGTTTCTGAGAATTACAGCCTACATCAGACAGTCATTTCCATCAAAAGAAACCTCATCTCAGTGGTCCCCTGCTCACTAACTTGCCTTAGTTACTTTCCTTGTTGCTATGACGAAATAGTGACAGAGCAGCTTAAGGAAAAAGAAGAATTTATTTGGGCTCCCGACTTGAGCACACAGTCTATCACAGAAGGGAACGTGTGATGGCTTCTCTAGCTGTGGTCACAGGGAGGTGGGGCATCTGGCCACATTGTGTCTACAATCAGTAAGCAGAGAGAAGGGCATGTTGGTGTTTAGCTCTCCTTCTCTTTTCTTCCCTTTTCACTCAGGTTTTGTTGTTTTGTTTTTTCCCCAAGAGGGTTTCTCTGTGTAACCCTGGCTATCCTGGAACTGGCTATGCAGACCAGGCTGGCCTTGAACTCAGAGATGCGCCTGCCTCTGCCTCCTGAGTGCTGGGATTAAAGGTGTGCGCCACCACTGCCTGAATTTCATCCCTTTTTATTCCATCCAGGATCCCAGGCCCTGGGATGGTGCCACCCACATTTGGGGTGGCTCTTCTCACCTCAGTTAAACTTCCCTGAAGACACCCACAGAACTTTGTTTCCTGGGTGACTCTAGGTCCTGTCAAGTTGTCAGAATTAACCATCACACACTCTCTGCCGTCCTGTGAAAAAAGCACCCGTTTTTCAGACAACTGTGCATGAAAAGGCTCAGCCATATATTTAGCTTGCTGATCAGTGGGAATGGTGGGATTTGAACTTGGGCAGGTTAAATTCAATGCTTGTTAAAGTACTGAAAAAAGTGCTTAGATATTTGTGGACAGAATGAGTTTAAGAAGGAGCCCTTCATTTCATCCATGCTGCTTGTAGCTGGTGGGGGAAGGGCCTCACCCTTGTGTGAATGAGTAGGGTATGGCTCCCAGAGCCTTACTAAGTCTGAGGATATTTGCATCCTGTCCATTATTCTGAACATACAGGAATATCAATTTTCAGCCCTGAAAACTGATGCTTCTGGTTGCAGATGGGCCTTGGGTGAGCCCCGAAGGACAAGGGTCAGCCCTGAAGACACAGAAGGTATTTCAGAGGCCCGAAAGGTATCCTGGGGAGAAGAACTGAGCTTTACGGACTGAGGAAAGGTTAGGTTAACACACAGCAGGAGTTAAAGATCTGTGTGGTTTAGAGTGACAAAAAGCAGAACCTTTCCACAAAGCAAGAGGGGGGACACATGGGGCCTAACAGAGTCTACACCAGCCTTTGGGTGACCACTTTCATCTGCACGTTCAGGCACTTTCTACCCACAACCAGAGGGGTGGGCCTGGGTCAACTGGAACACTTCTCACTGAAGGGAGAGGCTACAAGGCTTTTGGGAGAGGGTGAAAGCTTGGAGGTCAGAGCAGAGGCCTGGGCTGTGGTAGACAGAGAGGGGCGGGAGACGGTTGGTACCATTTTCACCTCCAGTTGGGACAGTTGGGGTGGCTGCATACACACAAGCCGCACCTGTGTTGAAAGTCAAAGGAAACGGCTAAAGGCAAAGACCTTACCAGGGGAAGCGTGAGCACTGGCGGTTGATGCACCAGGGGTTTATGAAGACGAGGGGCCCAGCGTTCCTGAGAAGTACTGCTTTCAAGTCTTCCAGAGAGTTCCACGACACCAGTTCTCTATTACTTGAAGCAGGAGTCCCTTCTCACTCTTCCTGCAAGCCTCACAACCTCCCCAGTGCCTGCTGCTCTATTGCATACCTCCTACCTCCCGCCTCCCAAAGGTGAGGCCTCCGGCAGCATCTCCGCTTTCCCCACTACCCGGCACAAAAGCCTCAACACTCAGAAGTCTCCCCCTTCCTCCTGAATACCACTCAGGACAGTCTTCCTGCACACACAACCTCTTCAGCCTTTGGGCAATGAACACTGTTAATGGATGCTACTCAGAGCTCTGCAGAGAATCAAAACCAATAGGACACACCTTTAGCTGTCCCTCTTTTATGCCCAGGGAATAGGTCCCCAGGCCCGCAGTACAAGCCTGGAGCCATAGACACAGCACAAGCCACAGATACACTATGTTTGTTCCAATACATAGACCTGCGGTAAAATTTAACTGATAAGTCAGATATAGTAAAAGACTAATAATAACTACAACAAAATGGAGCAATTATTAAAAATACTGTGTTTAAAGTTAAGTAAGGGTTGTCAGTTTCTCTCAAGATACCTGATTGCACCCTGTGTATGCTAACTGGTATGTAAGATTCACACCATGGATGTGCTAGACAAAGGCCTAAGAGTATAAAAATGTCATAATTCTCACTAGTCTGTCTTTTAACTGAAAGTAAATAATAACAATAATAGTTTAAGTTTCTTGCAGACATATTCTTCACCTAAATAGGAAAAGAGAATATGAAAATGTGAACATTTCCAAAATTATGTATAAATCAAATGCAATTACAGTATCTTTTTTTAACTAAGAAAAATCATTTTTAAATTCATACAAATGATTTCACAATGCAAGAACTGAAGAAAAAGGGGCTGGAGAGATGGCTCAGTGGTTAAGAGCACTGGCTGCTCTTCCAGAGGACCAGGGTTCAATTCCCAGCACACACATGGTGGCTCACAGTTGTCTGTAACTCCAACTCCAGGGGATTCAACACCCTCACACAGACAAGAAGGCATAATACCAATGTTTATAAAATGAAAATAAATAAATCATTTTTTAAAAGAATTGAAAAAATCTAAAGGAAAATCTATGTAATTAAAACAATGTATTCCACACACATACAGAAACCAATGAGATGAACAGACTAGAGAGTTTGATAGAGACCTAAGTTTGTGTGAGAAACTTCACATACATAGAAATGACATATTAACTTGGCATGGATAGGGTAGTGTGATCATTCTTCACAGTTGTCAACATGATGAAATCTAGAATCACTTGAGAGACAGGCATCTGGGTATGTTTGCAGGGAATTTTCTTAATTAGGTCAATTGAAGTAGGAAGAGCTGCCCACTGTGGGTGGCATCATTCCCTAGGGAGGATCCTGAACTACATAAAAACAAGAAAGTGGACTGAGCACTGGCCTTCATAGCTCTCTGCTTCATGATTGTAGATGCAATGTGATCACTTGTTTTAAGCTCCTGTGACTTCCCAGCCATAATAGACTGTACCCTCAAACAGTGAGCCAAAAAAAACCCTTTCTCCCTTAAGTTGATTTTAAGTATTTTACCATGGAAAAGTGACAAAGACAGTTTCTCTGACAATACTGTTATATATTAGGTTACTAATCTAGAATAAAATGAAGCTAGACCACTATTTTATCCATCCCCCCAGCACACTCATATACACAGAGTCACATACATGCATTTCCTTTTGGTTAGATATACAGATATAAAAATAACACAATAGAAGCTAAATTAAAATGAGGAGGATAGTGGTCTATCTTTGAGCTGATGAAAGAAATTCTCAAACAAGACAGGAGATCCAAGGACTAAACAAAAAGATAAATTTTACTTGCATAAAAATTTTGGAAAGGCCCGGCAATCAAAGGAAAAGGTCAAACAAATAACAGCTTCTTAGAAAGGGGGCTGGAGTCAGGCGTTGGTGGCGCACGCCTTTAATCTCAGCACTCGGGAGGCAGAGGCAGGCGGACCTCTGTGAGTTCAAGGCCAGCCTGGTCTACAGAGCAAGTTCCAGGACAACCTCCAAAACAATACAGAGAAACCCTGTCTCAAAAAACAAAACAAACAAACAAAAAACTGAAAGGGGACTGGAGATATGGGTCTGGGGTCAAGAGCACTTGCTGTTCCGCCACAGGACTCAAGTTTGGATCCCAGAACTCATGTTAAGCAGCTCACGACCACCTAGAACTCCAACTCCAGGGCACCTGACACCCTCTTCCACCTCCACGGGTACATGATACACACACAAATACATACAGACACACTAATAAAAGTAAAAAAAAATTCAAAAGAACGGGAACCTGGGGCACACAAAGGATTACTTTTCTTGCTTTTCTTTGTTTACTTAAAAACTCTTGTAATTCATTGATAAGCACAAATAACTTGCCAAAATAAGCACACAATATGGATAGCCAAGACCAGAAAAGGAAATTTTTCTTCAAAACAAAGAGTTTAAATCAGTAAATATACAAAGAGACTATGGCAAATAATGCCTGCCTCTCTATCTCTGTCTGTCTCCCTGTCACTGTCTCTGTAGCTCTCTCTTTTTTTCCTGAGGGAGGGTCTCATTAAAAAGCCCAGACTGGTCTGAACTTGTAATGTAGCCCAGGCTGGCCTCCCTCAAACTCATGATACTGGCAGGCATCACTACTCTTGGTCGAAGGTATTAGTTTTCAGCTCACAGAACTGGCACATCCAAAGGACAACATCTATCACGGTGGTCACATGGAAAGGTGCATTCTTAGAGAAGCTAAAGTCCCAGAAACCCTTGGGATGGGGGACAGTCAACAGTATGTGAGCATTAAGAATGAGCCCTCTCCAGTGGGTAAAGTTCTTGTTGTCCATCATAAGGACCAGAGTTTGAATGACAAGAACCCACATCAGGACATGTCCATGCCCATCTGAGATCTCAGTGCTCTGACAGAGAGATGGGAGGGTGGCTAGCATGGAACACAGCAGGAAACAAGAGATCCTGACTCGAACAGGTTGTTCTCTGACCTCCACACATGTGCCATGGTACACACATAACAACACATACATGAACATGTGCACATACTTCACATATAGAGGTTAAAAAAAAAAAGAATGAGCTGTCTGCTTTATCTGTCAGTACCTTAACCTTGTTGGGAGAAATAAGGACATCAATAAATCCAGAGGCATGTGAAAAGTCATGATTTATGACACTGCTTAGACAGGAAAGGCGGAGTGAGAGAATGATTGAGCAAAACATACTTATGTTTACCATGGGGTGCTGTGAAGCTGCCCAGAAATATGGGTTAGGTCTTCCTACGCATTGACTCAGAGTGATGTCTATAATAGTTCATTAGGTAGAAAAGAGCAAGTTGCATATGATTGAATATTGTTTTTTAAACTATGTATGTATATACACTACATATGTGCAGTACCTGGGAAGGCCAGAAGAGGGAGTCATATCACCTAGAACTGGAGTTAGAGGTTATTGTGAGCCACCATGTGTGTGCTTGAAGCTGAATTTAGGTCCTCTGAAAGAGCAGCCAGTGCTTGCTGTTAACTGCTGAGCCATCTCTTCAATGTCTTTAATATTATTTTTTTAAAAGAGAAGAAAAGAGCATTTTTGCTTATATATTTGTTTGTAAGCACACACATTACATGTAAATGTATGTATATAAATAAACATCAACTACTTAAGAAGCATGAAGTTCCAATGGAAGCTGACAATAAGACAGATAAAGAAAGGGAGATTGAGCCGGGCGGTGGTGGTACATGCCTTTAATCCCAGCACTTGGGAGGTAGAGGCAGGCAGATCTCTGTGAGTTCAAGACCAGCCTGTTCTGCAAGAGCTAGTTCCAAGCCAGCCTCCAAAGTCACAGAGAAACTCTGCCTCAAAAAACAAACAAAAAAAAAACCAACAAAAACAAAAAACAAAAAAACCAAAAAAAAAAAAAGAAAAAGAAAAAAGAAAGGGAGATTGGTTACTGCATATTCATCTTTTCCTTTAAATGTTTGAGGGATGTGGAGCCAGCAGTGTCTGTGTCCTTGGGTCCTCCAAGCTTCCCCTACAGGTCAGTTTGCATCAGTGTGAGACACAGTATTGTGTACTTTGTACATTGTAGAAAAATGAGCAGAGACAGGGCATCAAAATCACAAATAGAAAGTGTTGCTACTGTCCTAGCTGGTCACCCAACCAGGTGTCCTGTGTTTAGTCTAAACCCACACATAACGACAAAATGGAGCGTGTTTGGGTAGGGATGAAGAGTTAGGTATTTGGCTCCCTGTATAAAGAGGTGAATGAAACACAGGTAAGGTCAGATACAATTTTACAAGTTGGCTTGTAGAAGAAAGGACACCATATCACATACTGTTTTAGAAATAAGACATAGGAAGCAGCTGTATAGAGGAAACTGCCCGGACTTCAACCAGGGTGAGCAGGTACCTACTAGGAGTCCTCTGAGCCCTCTTCCCCCATGCTCTCTGCAGAGGGACTAACACCACACACTCTGACATACAGAAGGTCAAACACAGCAAAAGTGTAAGCCAACAATTTGAAAACTGTGGTTCTAAACTGTGACTACTTTGACTTGGATTCAACCATATATGATATATGTATTGATGTGTGTTAGTATAATTGTATATGTATTAATATAAGATATATTATGTATATATTATAAATGTATTCCGATGAATTCAATCAAAAGTGCTGATGGGGAGAACTCAACTATAGGTAATTTTAATGTAATTTAAGTAATTTCTTTTTAGACATGATCTTATGTATTTCAGGTTGGCCTCCCACTTGTTAAACAGCTGAAGATGGTCTTGAAATCCTGATCCTTTTGCCTTCATCTCTTGAGTGCTGGGAATCACAGCCGTGTGCTCTCACAACTGGAGTATGTTTCTGTGAATGGTACCCAGATCTTCATGCATGCTAGGTAAGACTTCTACCAACTGAGCTATGTTCCTAGTCCTCATCGGTAATATTTAGGGTCACTAAGTAATTCCACTGGTAAGTCATTGACTGGTTCCATAAGAAAGCACAGATCTAAAGTAATAATTGGGGTCTGGGTGATTGTAGAACAATGTCTTGATTGTGGGTCAATTTTTTTTCAAGGCTCATTAGCTTAATATTTGGAAATAAAGGCTGGGATTGAGAAATTTGAAGTGAAATACAGACAGTATGGCCTGTCCACAGCATCAGGAATGGTAAGGTTGGTTTAAAGAACATTTATCTATGTCAAGAACATGATAAGCAATTCATGATTGACTAGCCACAGCTCCTGGGCAATCCTAAATGGGAAGAGAAGAAGGACTAACTGATGAAGCGTTTCTGTACCTCAGTGATGCTCAGAAAAGATGCTAAACATTCTTCTTCATAGACCCTTGGCAAATTAAGTTATTTATTATTTTATTTTCCATGATGTCATTATGGGCCTGTGATTGATTTAATGTACCCAAAATACTTAAACATTTACTGCCTAAAGAGTGGTTCTTTTTTTTCCTTTTTTTTCTTTTTCTTTCTTTCTTTCTTTTTTTTTTTGGTGTTTCCAGACAAGTTTTCTCCTTGTAGCTGTGGAGCCTGTCCTGGAACTCACTCTGTAGACCCAGATGCCCTTGAACTCCCAGAGATCTGCAAGCTGCCTCCCTGGTGCTGGGATTAAAGGCGTGCACCACCGCCTGGCTCTAAAGAGGGATTCTTACTGTGGGTCATGGGGACTCTGCTCATGTCTGTTTCTGCTTTGTTTTGTTGGTAGCTGAAGTCACCTTGGTTGTATGCTGAGTTCACCGAGCTGGATAATGGGTGTGTAGGAAGAGCACCACGTGAAAATTCAGATACAGAGACATCTGAGCAGCCCGAGATGCTGAGCAAAGCTCAAAGAGCAAAGGAGATCGACACAAAGCTCTTTACTTACTACAGCACTCTTACTACAGCACTCTTCCCCCACAACCACAGAGAAAAGAAACAAGCCAAATGCTTCAGTCAGGGCTGTACAAGTCCAAGATGGGAGAACAGTGGGAAACAGCAACCCCAGCCGGCAAGCTGATGAACTCTGTGAATCAGCCCTGTGACTCAGCATCTAACTCAAGGCCAGTGAGGAGTGTTTAGGATCAGGAAGTAGATAGTCCTATTCTGCTCTGCATGGTCATGTCACTCCTGGCACTGGCAGGCTCAGAGCTGGGTTTTGGGGTTTCGAGTGCAGCAAAGTCAGAAGGTCAAAGCCTGGGAGAGTCTGCAAAAGATGACAAGCATGAAGTTTCCAGCTCCAGGCCTCCGAGGGAAGCAGACTGAGGTGCCTGCACCATCAGATGTCCTTTGGGAGACAGAAGTAGGATTTCTTTGTGTGGTTCTGAGGACAGAATTGAGCTTAGGACCAGCCTTTAAGGAACCAAGGGGGCTTCAGCCAAGATGCTCTAAGTATCAATAGCTTCCCTAAAGCACCACTAATTGCTTGCAAGGTAGGTAGCCAGTTTTCAGGCTGGAGGCATCCAAATAGAATTGGGGGAGCACCTGGAAGGGATGCTGAGCAGGAAGAGGATCTTATGTGAGGGCCAAACCAGTTGTCTTCTGCAATTTTCCTAGAATACTGAAAATCCAGGGCTGGGAAGATGAAGTAGTTCATAAAATGCAAGATGTGGACCTGAGTTAGCCTGCTGACACCTGTGTAAAAAGTGGCCCATTCTCATATCCTTAGAGCTGGGTGGGGGGTAGAGGCAGGAGGATCCTATGGCTCATTGGGCAGCTGCTGACTTAGCCTACCTGAATAGTTTCATGCCGGTGAGAAAGTGTGTCTAAAGCACCATTGGGCAGCACCCTGAGAAGGGATACCTAAGGTTGTCCTGTGATCTCATTTATGCACACGTATGGGTCTGCACACATATGCTTCTGCACACATGAGTACATCCATAAACACACGGAGGCACACACAGATCAAGTGGTGCATTCAAGACTTGTGCCAGTTTTCTCGAAGTTGAATTTCCAAAACATATGTACTTGGGAACTGGAGAAAAGCGGCCAGTTGCAATCATGGCCAGGGAATCCTTATCGTCCTCTCCCTGGATCCCCTGCCTCAGCTGACAAAGGCAGATCTTCCTGCCTGACCTCCAAAGAACAGCTCTTACAGGCATAGCTATTGTAGTCTGTGCCTGCTTCACCCAACAGGGAGGGAGCTGCAGAGCAAAAAAGATACAAGGACACCAGCATCGGCAGAAAAGGCAGCTGTTACTGATAACTCATTTTTTTTTTAAAGGAAAACAAAGAGAAGTTTCTGGGGGAGGAAAATTCCCCCAAGTTTCTGTTGACTCTTTTGTTTGGTTAGTTATCTTCTCAAACTTGGCATTGAATCAGGTTAGGCTAAAGGAAGCCTTAGAGGGGACGCATTTCAGATTCATCCTTCCCAGACGGAAGAAACTAAAGCCCGAGGGCAATGTGCTTCATCCAAAGGCACTGGGTGCCTCGAGGCACAACTGGGACTATAGCCAGCCCTAGCCCTCACTTCTGCCCAAGCCTAGACACTTCTGTAGGCTGCCTTTTGGGAGAGGTCCAGATCACCATAGCCTCTGGCCTTGGGCAAAAGGAAATCTAGCCTCCTCGTTGTTCTTTTATAGACATGAAAGGGACACTCAGACCCTGACCACACATCTCTCCTTCAAGCCCTTTCTCTTTTACGTGGTTTTCAAGGCTGGCCACCCAAACTGCCTTACCTGCACTGGTCCTCACTAGCTTGAGAGGAGTACCAGGCTCTTGCCCTGTCTCTTGACACACAAATGTTCCAGGGTCCAGAGTGGGAAGCTTGGCTTCTCCTCCAAGAAGCAGCAACAGACTGTTCCTCCTTTCCAGTGATCCCTGTAACAGATGTTCTTGTTCTCAACAGCAAACAGCTGGGCAGCTTCTCAGCCCCTCTGGACACAGACCCAGCTACTTAATCTGCAGGGCCCAGTGGAGAATGTCCACAAAAGGCTCCTTGTTCAGAAACCAGTGTGACTGACAAGCCCAAGACAAAGTGGTTTTGCTTAAAATTTTTTATGAATATACATATATAATATTACACATAGTAATGTACACATAATACATGTATTTATATATGTAATTGTATATAATGAGTTTAAGAATGACATTTCCATACATGTACATAATGCATTTTGATCTCATTTACCCCTCCTCATTTACTTTTTTATGCCCTCTCCCCCATCCCTTAATCTCTCCTCTCTCTCATGAGTTCCATTAGAGTTGCATACAGGAGCAAGGAGAGGAAAGTTATTTACAGAACCGTGGCACCTCGCCGGTAGCTATACCCCTGAAGAAAGTGAGATAGTGTACTTGAAAATAGATGTGAGTTCCTAGGTCCAGGGCCGGTGAAGCCCACCCTGCTTGATTGCGTCCCACTGGCATGGGAACAACGCTTAAGCTCTATAGATCCCAGAGACTGGAGAGGTCTTCTGGGTCCCTGGGGTATGATTTGTTCCTCCATCTGTCTGCCAAGGGAGACATCTGTCTCCCAAAGCGGCATTTAGAGAGCCAAGTACTCCAAGCGTGTGCTCTTCCTTATCACAATGTCATCTTCCGTGTCACTGATACTCTCCCATTTAAATGGGGGAAAATAAAAGGAGAGAGGTTGACAGGTTCATGTGGAAGATAGATGGGCAATAGGGCGGACATGGGGTGGTGGAATCCTGAGCCTGTTTTGGGCTGGGATTGGGCCAGAGTAGTGTAGCCCTCTTCTCCTAAGGCTCTTCTGTTAGAGCCTGGCCGTGAGGCCTTCGATAGCACGCAGGGAAGAGAGCAGACACCAATCTACGGTCCCTCTGGCACCAGCAGGGTTATTTGTGATGCCCATGCGCCCCCCGGTGCCCCCCGCCGAGTGCTGCACCTCCCACCCCCACCGCCAGGCTTCCCGAAAGCTCCTGGTGCATTCCCCGGCATTCTCTGGGCATGAGTCATGCAGGTTTGCAGCCAGCCCCGAAGGGGGTGTACTTGAGCCGAGCACTATAAATAGGGCTCTTCCCTGGTGCTCAGCACCAGGAGGAGCGCACTGGAGCGACGCGGCAGACCGGTGAGACATCCGCCACACCGGGAGGGATGGGAGGACAGGGGCAGCAGCTAGGTGGAGAGATGGTGCAGCCGTGGGGAAGTGGGAGGAGGACAGAATTCCATCAGCAGGCTGCCGAGGCTCGGGTAAAATTGCACCGGGGCTGTACCCTGGCTCAGACTCCGGAGTCCCCGTGTTCATTAGCCCGGATCACAATTTAAAGGCTGTTCAATAGGCTGCATGCAAAGATCTTCCTTTTGCAAAAATGGGGAAACTGAGGGTTGGAAGTCTGCATTGCGTTGCGGGAGGCACAGGGGCGTGAATGGCTTGCGCACTGCGAGCAGGTGCGGACCTTGGTGGCGGCTGATGTCTTACACGCCTGAGTCACCGTGTTTGCACCTCCCTTCCAGCTCCTGGGACAGCACATAATAAATAAGAGGTGTGTTTAAGGACACGCTGCAGCTATCCAGTCCTGCTTACCAGAGGGCTGAATTCATTCAGTCCTTCAGAGATATGCTCCATCAGGCCTGAGACGTCTGATCCCACAGGATCGTTTTATAGATGGTAATCTGAGGCCTGGAGGGAATTAGAGAAAGATCCAGCCTCCAACGTTATACGAATGAGAACTGAAGCTCGCTGGCTTTCCAGAATTTCTGGACCCCATTTTTAAAACTGCTACTGCTGCTGTTTTAAAGGAAGAAGTTAGAAATTCAAGCATCTATGCAGGTTCTGTAACAGGAAGCTCATGAGGGTACAATTTTAGTTGCCCAACCTTGTGAGAATAATAAAATAAACTGCAAATGTTAGTCAATGGAATACTAGACAGCCACAAATGTGTGACTTCAAAGAATATTGGAAAGCAGGACCTATAAAGGGATGGTTTATAAAAATGCGTTGGAGGAAATGGGGGAAATAGGCCACACGGGAAGAGGCGGTGTTGTCCCGTGAGATAAGGAGGTCCCTGGCCCTGGTGGGGCTCATCCTCTCCGGGCAGTTGGCAGGCAGGCAGTAGGCCGGCCTCCAAATGATGAGAGGAAGTGAGTCAGTGTAAGGGAGGGCGCCCGGCTGTGTGGCATTGTCCTTGGACCAACAGCACACAGCACCTGGAAGCTTGAGAGGCAAGCAGATTCTGCCCCGCAGACAGCATTGTCACCAGATGGTCTCAGGGAGTCTGTTCTTAGATTTACAGAGCCGTGGGTCCATCGGCCGCTTCTCTGAGGTCTGTGTCAGGTCCAGTTTGCGGATATAGAAAGCAAGACAGAGAGACTGATGTCAAGGAAAGAATATTAAAATGAGGCTTTGGGGGGCCCGGCTCTTATCCTGGGGTGGCCACTGGCTTACAGGGTGTCTTGGGAACCTAGCTGGTCCCTAGGCTTTGGCACTCTGGTTGAAGTGAGAGGTTGGGTGTAAGAGTGACTGTCCCTTTCTTATCTGGGAGCTTGGTGGCTCTCCAGGCCCCAGGTCTCCTTTGGTGGGTCCCAGGCCCACTGAGGCTCCTCTTGAAACTGCCTCACCTCCCAGCCAATGGTCTTCCTTGGCTACCCTGCCCTGATTCTGGGCACAATACGATCCTCTGTTCAGAACCCAGTTGCTGAATGGAGTTTCCAAGTTACACTTGAGGTTTCTCCCACCTACAGGTGACTTCACTTCTGATGTGACAAAGGGCCTGTCCCTGCCTGAGGCATTTCAGGGCTCGGTGAGCCTGTGAGACCAGGACCTTAATAGTGGAGCTGAAACCAGGCTGGTCCAGCTGCCCACCCACCACTGGGAAAGTGCCCGTCTCTCCTCCCATGTAGCTCCTCTGCCCGTGTCCATAATTACACCTCAGCGGAGGCCTTCTTTATTAATGATCTACCCAGTGTTCCCGTGGGCCTGTCCAGCTGAGAGCACGTTTTAAAGTGAGCCATTTCAGGAAGAAAGACCACTCCCCCTCCTCTGTTCCAGTGGCTATGGGAAGTTGGTGAGCCAGATAAGCCATTTTTGGGCGGGGTTAGAGATACAAGGTGTGTGTGTGAGAGAGAGTGAGAGAGAGAGAGAGAGAGAGAGAGAGTGTGTGTGTGTGTGTGTGTGTGTGCACGCACACATGCATGTGCCTTTTTATGCAACCAATCCAGCTTCTGGGAAAGGATCCATTGTGTAATACTGGGGCTTCAGCCTGTGTCCCCTGGCTCGGGGCAGCCAGCCCAGCGGTGGCAGGGGCACCTTGGCAGAGCACTCTGGTTCAGGCTTAGAGGGAACAGGCATGTGAAAGGGATTTGCTGGAGACAATGGGCCTGTCCTCCTGAAGGGGCTTTCATGGGGACCCATTGCTAATCCCCGTTTTGTCTTCCTCGCCCTGGCTCTGCTTTCTAAGCAGCCCTTCCCTCCTCATTTTGCCTCTTTACCACACCCCACACACTAGAATTCATCTTCAGCCTGGCACATGCCTCACCCAGAGAGAATCACATGGATTGAATTTGCTGTGCTGACTGAAGGGGGTGAATGCTGTCTCTGACTCCTGAAAAGCACATTTAGATAGCCCTGGGGACTCTGAGGGACCGGGATGGAGTGAGGGTGCAGTCCCATTGAAGGAGATAGGAGAGGGATGCTTTTATTATTTTATCACAGTAATTCCAGCTGAGGGCGCAGATGAGGGCCACCGGTTCTAATCCTACTCCATCTCCTTTTCTCAGGGAGCTGTGGCAGGCCGCAGGAAACCTGTAAGCTGCCCGGCTGTTTCCATGATGCTCTCCTGTTCTTTCCAAACAGACCTGCTAGGACTCCTGACCCAGAGGAGGCCGCACCATGAAGATTCTCCTGTTGTGCGTGGGGTTACTGCTGACCTGGGACAATGGCATGGTCCTGGGAGAGCAGGAGGTCTCTGACAATGAGCTACAGGGTAAGTAGACTCAGTAGACTCTGGTGAAGGTGGGGCCAGGGGCAGGGCCACCCCTCCAAGCTCAGTCCCCAAGTGCTGAGGGCTATTTTCATTCTGCACCCCGGGGTTGTTCCTGTCCCCCTGCTCCATTCTCTCCGAGTCTCTAAGCTCCTGCTTTGGCTTTGTGTGGTCAGGTCCCTTCTAGACATTGACCCCTATGTCCCAAGCTACTCTTTCATTCCTTCCTGGTCCCCTCACCTGGCTGTCTTCCTTTTCCTCTCAAAACTGTGCCTGGGCCATTTGAAACTTTGTCAGTCTCCACTTTGTATGACATCCAGAGTTCTCACCCAGGTGTCCCCAAACCTATCCCCCTGGAAACCTGGTCCCACCCGTGTCCTACTCTGGTAAGAACAGTACAATCCAACATGAAGTAATCATCTGAGATCACCCTCTCCTCCCCCATCTCCCACCCCCTCCTCCCCATCTTTCAAGGCTGTCCCCAAAACCTGCTTTTCCTCCTTCCTTCTCTCCCAACCTCTTGCTTGTTTGCTGACCAGTTCTGTGGGGTTTTCACTTAGAAAACCCAGATATTTGGATCAGGCCTGGGTGTTATACTCTGCCCTATACTCTCTAATTCAGTTCTCAACAATCCTAATGCTGCGACACTTTAATACAGTTCCTCATGTTTTGGTGACTCCCGACCATGAAATTATTTTCACTGCTACTTCATAACTGTAGTTTTGCTGTTATGAATCGTGATGTAAATATCTGATATGCAGTTGTATCTGATATGTGACTCCTTGGAAACGGTCATTTGACACCCCCCCCCAGAGGAGTCTTGACCCAAGGTTGAGAACCGCTGCTGTTCTTGATCTCATCACTCTGCGCCAGCTTTACTGAGATATGATTGACACATAAAACGATGTATTACATAATACAACCTGATGCTCTGATATTGATATGCATGGTAAAATGATTGCCATTATCAAGCTATTAGTATCCATCACCTCACCTTATTGTTGTAGTTCAGACACTTAAAATATATTGTCTTAGCACACTACAAAGGGTAGAACACAGTATTATTAACCCTGGGCACCACTTGTACCATGGACCTCTGGGCTTTCTCATGCTGTATAATTGAGACTTCACGTCCCTTTCTCAGCAGTCCCTACCCCCCACTTCCCTCCTCATCCATGTGTTTGACAGCGGCCTCAGGAGATGGAACACATTTGAGGTGTGGGAAATGGTGCTTGACACAGGACAAGTACCCAGTAAGTGCTGCCGCTGTGACATGATGTGTCATTGCCTCCGTCACCTGGTGCTGTGCCTTGGTTACAGTCTCCATGGTGACTGCAGCTCTTCATTTATCTTCCTGTCTCCATGGTGTCCTGTGCCATTTCGTTCCTGTCCCCGTCACCTGGCACTGTGCACAAAGACTGGGTTAAACTGAACTCCAGAGAAATCTATATCCCAAACAACAGACTTCTATTGTATCTTGACACTTAAAAGATTAACTATCACTTTTTTCTCCTGTCCTTGAAATATCCTTTGTGGCCGTTGGCTCCCCACGGTGGTGTGGTAGGGGCCAGACATAGTACGACTGCCGTTCTCTGTCCTACTCCTGTGGTTTGTGTTTCTGAGCTGTGGGGTGGCATCTGCTATGAGCCCTGTGATGAGACACAGAGGCAGGACCGAGACTGTAGCAGCTGCCACTGACTTGGGATGGTGGTGGTTATATCTCAATTAGACTGCCCTGACAGGCCCCACCAGGGCAGGGTTTTCTCATAGTCCCTCTAGCTCCCAAGCTATTTCTCCAGCCATTTCTTCCTCTCAACTCATTCTACCTTTCTTTCTCTCATAGAAATGTCCAGTCAAGGGAGCAAGTACATTAATAAGGAAATTCAAAATGCCGTCCAGGGAGTGAAACAGATAAAGACCCTCATAGAAAAAACCAATGCAGAGCGCAAGTCACTGCTCAACAGTTTAGAGGAAGCCAAGAAGAAGAAAGAGGTAGGGCCAAGACTTGACTGGGCCCTGGTCCTCCCTGCTGGAGGGGAGGACGGCGATGTGGTGGGCAGATGTCTTGTGGGGTTGCCATGGTGTCCTAGCACAATCTTTGCAAGGCTTCCCCAAAGCTGGGCTAGACCCAGGAAGCAGGGAAAGCACATTTGCCTGTGAAAGCCTCAGGGCTGAGGTCTTGGATCTGGTTTCCTTGCAAGTCCAGTCCAGGGCCTGAAGCCCAGATTCATTTCAATAGATTTTTCTAATCCTTGTTGAGGGTAGGGCATGGTGTGGGACTTGGGTGGAGGGTAGATCATGGCAGCATCTGGCTACTCTGCTCTACTCTTTTCTTTTGTATTTAAAGTTAATGTAAAATCTTTGTAATCTATCCTGGACACCCACCTATCCTCACTTAGCCACAAGGGGGCAGGTTTAAGACCCTTAGTAGAAGCCTGAAGCTGTGGATAGTACCAGGCTCTCTACATACGTGTTTGTGTACCCATTTATAATAATGCTTAATTTATAAATTACAGACAGTAAGATATGAACAACAACAACATAGAACAATTATAATCTTATATCATAGAGGAAGTTATGCAGATGTATTTCACTCGCAAAATACCTTAATTTCTCATGGTCCATGATACTAATTTTAGAGTGTGGTAGACAATGAGTAGGTAAGACCACTGACAATTGGGGCTGCTGTTATCATTTGTTTAACTTGTCTTCTACATTTGAGCATCTTAGTTGGTTCTGGTGCACACACACACACACACAGTGGAATTTATACATATATCCATCATTCATACACATTTATTTTCCACATGTATATGTAGAAGTACATCTGCTGTAAACTAGTATCTCTTCAGGCATTGGATATAACATTTTTATTTTGGCAATCTCTAGAGCCAATGACTGGGCCAGGGGCATGGTAATGAGTTTGATGGTTGATGTGACTTCTGTTTTCATAGCTTTGATTTGCATGTCAGGGGCCACAGCTATACCAGAAAGGCGAGACTATGTCTTTGGGCAGATGAGAAGAGGAAGGGAGGTGGAAGGGAGAGGTAGAGCCTGAGGCAGAGAAGTCAGGGAAAGCTTAGGGAACAGCTGGGCCTTGAAAGGTAAGAGGCTGCTGAGAGCCCAGCAGGGGCAGCGAGACATGTGGGGTAGAGCAAAGATGAAGGCGGCACTAGCACACTGTCCGTAGGCCAGGGAGGCCTGCCGGGGCTCTGTGCAGCTCCCCTGACCTTGTTATCTTCCTGAAGGATGCTCTAGATGACACCAGGGATTCTGAAATGAAACTGAAGGCGTTCCCGGAAGTGTGCAATGAGACCATGATGGCCCTCTGGGAAGAGTGTAAGCCCTGCCTGAAGCAGACCTGCATGAAGTTCTATGCACGTGTCTGCAGAAGCGGCTCTGGTCTGGTTGGCCACCAGGTGAGGAGGAGACACCCAGGCCTGGGCTCTGGATGGGGAAATGTGGAGAATCCACGAACTAGGCCTCCTTCCACATGCTGGATACAGTTGACTAGCGTGGCATGACGACTTGCCTTTCTAGCATCATGGCTGATTGGTGATGTCTGACATGAATGCAGATGTAAACAACCACACAGGTGTGCTTGGCATCTCTTAGGAGACCTTTAGCTAGCTGGGTAAAATGGCCTCATGGTATGGCAGGATCCTGTGCTCATCTAGGGGGAAGGAATTAAGAATATTTAGTAT